ATAACCTAACCTAGCCAAACCTAACATAACCTAACCTAGCCAAACCTAACATAACCTAACCTAGCCAAACCTAACATAACCTAATCTAGCCAAACCTAACATAACCTAACCTAAACAAACATAATCTAACAGCCAAACTTAATCTGACCTGACTTAACTAAACGTAACCTAAACTACCCTAACCTAGCCAAACCTAGCCTAAGAAACATTGACCTAAGTACTCAATTTGCCTTTATAGTTATACAGTCATATACATACATATATATATATATATATATATATATATATATATATATATATATATATATATATATATATATATATATATATATATATATATATATATATATATATATATATATATATATATATATATATATATTGGTATTAATTGGGTAAACATAAGGGTAAAAAGTAAGGCATAAAGGAGAAAAAGAGTAGAAGAGTAGAATAAGGATAACTAACCTAACCTAGCTAATATATATATCAGCATTTTGGGACAATAAGGTGACTTGAACGGCATCTGGTGATTCCCAGAAACCTGCCTTAACCCACTCAGCCACGATAAGACAAAGAGCTATCAAGCCGAAGTTCTACTGAATTAAGAAGATAGGTTGATAAGAGCCAGCCAGGGCCTTACGAGCATAGCATGAGGATAGTTTGGCGTCACGTGTAAAGTGTTTTGCAATCCTGAACGAAGGGTGTTGGTTGCTGGGTTTACGAGCGCTTGAACATTGTTCATGAGGTCGGGCTGGTGACACAGTGAAGTCGGTGGGTTGTGGGGGAGGCTGTTGTGGGAGACATGTACACGTGTGCTCTGTTCAACAGGTGTGTGGAGTAAGTACACGTTATCACAGTTGTGTAGCGGAGGTGGTTGAACTGCACAATAACTAGATAACAGGGCAGTGTTGTACTTGTTGTTTTTGTTATTAATTTTGGGAATACTGTATTTGTGGTTTTTGCTGTAGTGAATTATTCTTTGTAACGGAAGCTCATCTTCATGATTGAGTTAGAAATATTACGTTAACCATGGCATATTATTCAATAATTATATTAATTTAGAAAATCTGAAGCTACTTCAAAACGACTCAATTTTTTCAAGTTTTATTATAGGCGATAATATATTAAGAATTTCCAATAAATTATAATTCACATTAGCTCCTAACCCAAACTAACCTAAATTATTAAAACCTAGCCTAACCTACCCTTATCTAACTTATGCTAACTTAACCCAACCACCATAACTTTATACCCTACATTCGTCCCTAAAGTATTGCAAAAACATTTAGAAATGTGTGTAAATCTTTTTGAGGACGGTTTTGAATATAAATTAATTTGTGTTAAAGTGTACTTGCATAGTTTCTGCTTACAGAAGCCTGCCATTTGTGTATATATGCATGTCTCGCAATGTGTATGCTTATGTATGCGTCTCCATTTGTATGGACCCCTCATACCCATCCCGTGAGTGGTAGTGATCCCATGCCCATCCTGTAAGTTGTAGTGGACCCCATTTCCATCCTGTGAGTGGTAGTGGAAAAGGTTACACTTATATAATGAGTTTAGGAACAAAACTCCAGTATTCACTAGGCTACGCAATTTACTTCTGTGGTGTGCTAGTTGCGGGTTTCTCTGCCTCAACGTTGTGATAACGTTACAAGGGTAGTGACATAATTATATAATTTTACAAATTTAACATACAAGTTTCACCAGTATTAGGCCTTTAATTACAAAAGTTTCATTAGTATTAGACGTACATTTACAAAAGCTTCACCAGTATTAGACCTTCAATTACGAAGGAAGGTTCACAGAGGGTGATAAAGGAGTAAGTGTGGTCCTGAGAGCTATCTTCAACACCAATAGTCATGCTGATAACTGAAGGTCCTCACAGCCTATCCTGCAAGATATCCACAACTCAGACAATATGATGGATTTTGACACAAACACAGCAGACTCTGACAAATCAACTAACATACCCCATGCACTCGGCCCCGGGTCCTGGCTTCTGGACCTTCAGATTTGTAAACAAATGTAGGTTACTAGTCGTACCAGCGCTCAGTGTAGTATGAAGGAAAGCTTAGAAACTGATGAGATACCAGAAGGATTTTAAGTCAGTTGATATAGCTCCATTCCACCCAGGATTTGGAAGGATAATAAGGCGTCATGTCAGTTTTATGAAGAGAAAAGGTAACATTCTACATAATTCAGGTCAACATGAGTTTAGAGCGGGAAGATCCTGATCTTCACAACTGTTCAACCACTATGGCAAGTTCACTAAGGCAAAAGAATAAAAGAAGAATGCAGATGTATACACATACCACGAGTGCTGGCCTGTACAATAAAGTCCAAATGAGTAAGAGATGAAGATGAACAATGTAAATATTATACATTGCGAGGAACAGGTCATAACAGTAACTCCACAAAACTGAGTCTGAACACTGAAATCATGGTACCCGAAGGCAATCTCCTTACGACACTGCTCTCTCTCTCTCTCTCTCTCATCTCATCAGATATATAAAAAATCCAAATCACAGCTTCCTGTCATCTGGTGCAGACGGTACGAAGATCGGCACGCGCACTGCGTTGGAAGAAAATACTGAAAAACTACAATATTATCTAGGCCTTCCGCTGAACAACGGAAAACAACACGCGTTTCAACAGTAACAAATTCTAACTACTCAGTCATGGAAAAAATGAGAACTCACACTGGATACAAAACACAATAATCTCATTGAACGGAAACGAAATGTTAAGTGATCATAACAAAGCGTTTTTCCCTTCAGGTAAGACAATTATATGGTGAGATGTGAGAACATTCAAGTTTGGGGATACCACCCTGTTGCTCTTATTTTTCAAATCACTTACGCTGTCCCGCCTGGAACTCTGCTTGGTCCTCACTTACTTCTTCAGGGCACGATGAGTACTTGACACAAATATACACTTTTATTTATCGATTTATATATACAAGAGTTCTTACATTCTTGAGAAGCCACTAGTAAGCATAGCGTCTCGAGCAGGTCTTTAATCCTAATTTTCTCTGAAATTCAACCCGCCGAATCGTTTAACAACCAGGTACCCATTCACTGCTGGGTGAACAGAGGCGTACATTTAAAGACTGGAGCCTAGTCAATCTTCCCCGGCCAAGATACGAACCCAGACTACATCTCACGCGAAGCGCGGGTCGAGTGTCATGCCATGGAGACCAACACATGTAAAATACTTATATTACTGGAACTTCCTAAAACTGCTCAAAATGTACACAGTAAAATAAAGCGCAAGATACGACATGAAATGCAGACGAGACCCAGTGAAGAGTAAAGCTGCCATAGACACCTTTAAGTTCCCACTAAATGTAAGAAATATTACCGAGGGAAGTTTTTAAGAGGGTATTAGAGCGGTCCATGCAAGAAGTACCTGATTGACCTGATCAGAAGGATATGTGGGGCTGCGGGACCTTACCTGCAGCAGCCTTACCGATTAAGTTCCCACAAAAAAATCACTGTCTACGCCACGGCTGCGAGAATTAAACTACTCTCGTAACCGAATACAGGTAATATACATGGAGTTGCAGAGGTGTAGGAGTATGCTATCCATACCTGCCACAGGTGTGTGGGAGATAACAGCTGTGGCAGCAATTAACACCTACCAACACCTGTCATGATGACATATAACCCACGAGTCCAGTATTTCCAAAAGACTTGACATCTTTCCTTAATTAATCATGGAGTCTTTGTTTACATGTATTAACAAGTTTACGAGCTCCGTAGCACTACGAGGTTGTTTATAGCCATAACAACCATCGGTTGTGAAGTGTCGGAGCTCGTAAACTGTTTAATAAATGTAAACAAAGCCGCCATGATTGATGAAAGATGTACAGGCTTCGTAAGTGGGTTACTTTAGATGTTCGGGGAAATCCTGGTCCAGATCAACACTAAATTTGTTATTGAATATTATAATAATTTTTAACAAATAGGTGCTTACTCGCTTCAAAAATTGTCTTACCTTCAATAAAGAAAGAAAAAAATTGGAACTAATTGAAAAATCCTGCATCAATCCAGGTAGTCCTGCCTGATCATGAACCAAATGAACAGTATGAAGGATGAACAACTATGAACACCTGAATGAATAATGTAAAGGATGAACAATTATTAATTGAATGAACAGTAAGAGCGAATATGAACAAATGAATGAATTGTATGAAGGATTAACAATTTTGAACTAAATGAACAGTAAGGATGAGTAACGGGATGAACAGTTTGAAGGATGAACAACGAAATGAACAGTATGAAGGATAACAATTATATAGAGAATGTTGGAGGAACAATTAAGAATAGAATGAACAATTTAAACGATAAACAGCTATGATGGTCACGCGTTAAGTCTTCTATCCCGTAAGTCCCCCCTCCCACCTAGCAACCTCTACCTCTTAAGTACTCCCACTTAGACGCCTCCCCAGCACCATGGACCTGTACCACTCTAATGACTCTTATATGAGACAGTATCAAAAGGTTTGCTAATATTAAAGTACAAAACCTTTCCACTATCAACTATCTCAACTATGTTGAAACTGAACGAGAGTAAATTTTGAGGAAACATAAGTGACTGTACAACTCTCTTCCGAAGCATTTATTATTATATGCATTTCAACGTACATTCAAATGGGGTTTTGCTATTATAGTTTCAAGCAATTTTCGCATAATAGGCGTAAAGTTAATTGTCCGATAGTTTTACACAATAGTGTTATATTCCCCAATTCTTAGCGATATACACAACTTTCACAAATCAGGTAATCTACGAGACTGTTTTGGTTGGTTAAAGATGAAAGTAAAGGTCTCTCTAAGCTCGTCCGTACATTATTTTAGGACATTGGCAGAGGCAACTTGCTTAGGTACCTGCGGACGAAGCCTCTGTTTGTCACTCAATTCCCGTGTTATTGTAGCTTAAAACAAATTCTTGTTGTTAGTGGGAGTTGGTGAAACTGACCCGCCTTCCTCTGCCAACAGACCATCGACAAGCTGCCGGACAAGGTGCTATTGAAGATCTTCTCGTACCTGTCACATCGGGAGATCATCGCTAACGTGCGGGTGTGCAAGAAGTGGAGGACCCTGGCATATAACACCAACCTCTGGAGCACCGTCTCCCTGAGGCCGGAGTGTAATGGCCTCTATGTCAACAGCATCGAGGCTCTCCTCTACCTCATCAGGTAAGGACCTTTCTCACCTCCAGTGTGCTCACACACATAGTGTATTGCTATTTACAGCATCACAAGTCTGTAAAACAAATACCTGGCGATTTACAGAGTTATAAAATACCTCGTGACATTGCAATGTCTTCTACGTCGTGTTTTATGTGTACAGTATATGCCTAAGTGTACATGCCTCCGTTTTCACCTGAGTTGTTTCTGTTCCTTGTGCGTGAATGTGGCTGGTATGGGGGGGTCTGCTGGTGTTGGTGTGTGGTGGTGGGACACGCAGTGCAAGGTTCGGAGCCTCGCTCAGGTACTTGGAGATGCCCATGGACCTCATCACCCACCCGGTGCTCCACGAGCTCACCGCCCGGTGCCCCAACCTTACCAACCTCCTCCTAGACTTCTCCTCCGCCATGCAGCTCCATGACTTCAATGACATGCAGGTGACGGACCATTGCTCGCCGCCGTCCGCAGTTCATCCTCTAACGCATGAGTGTGTGGGGTGCGTATTGCTACTAACACGTCTTCTAACCAAACGCATTAATGTGTTTTATTGTGGGTGTAGTGCAATTAAGCCCCCCCCCCCCTTCTAGTCCATGAGTGTGGGTGTAGTGCCACTAACTGCCGGCCTCTAACAACGGCTAACGTTACCAACTACTTAACTGCTACTAACCACTCTGAACTGGTTGAAGGGGCTGTGACCTTCAGCCTTAACAAAGCGGCCTCTGAAGCTCGTTTCTAAATGTGTGTTCAATGATCATTATCCCCACCTCAACGATCATTAACGCATAAGCGATAGTTTGAGTTAACTCCCCCTCAGTGATCATTAAAACCATTTCAACATTCGTTAACTCCCCCTTAACGAGAGTTAACCCCACTTTAACGATCAGTAACTCGCCGAACTACTTTGACTGGACGGTAGAGCGACGGTCTCGCGTCATGCAGGTCGGCGTTCAATCCCCGACCGTCACAGTGATTGGGCATCATTCCTTCCCCCCGGTCCCATCCCAAATTCTTATCCTGACCCCTTTCAATTGCTATATAGTCGCACTGGCTTGGCGCTTTCCCCTGATAATTTCCTCCTTCCCTCCACCACAACGATCAATAACCCCACCTCAATGATCGTTAACCCCACCTGAAAAGTCGTTAACGCAACTTCAACGGTCGTTAACTCCACCTCAACGACCGTTAACCACACCTGAACGATCATTAACCAAACCTCAACGGTCGTTAATCCCATCTCAGCATTTATATCAAGAATACAATACCGCATATACAGTACAATACAGACTATCACCATATGATGCAGCGTCACGTAATTTACAATGTACGAGGTCATCACATTGTACAAGGTCATCCCAGTGTACGAGGTCATCACAGTGTACAAAGTCACCACAGTGTACAGGGTCATCACAGTGTACGAGGTCACCACAGTGTACGAGGTCACCACAGTGTACAGGGTCACCACAGTGTACAAAGTCACCACAGTGTACAGTAATCTAACACTGGTCCTTCCCCCGTGGTACAGGCGTTCCCGACCAAGTTGCGAACGATGTGCATCTGTCTCTCTGAGGTCATCTTCATGGAGGGCTTCATGCGCAAGATCTATAACTTCATCAACGGGCTCGAGGTCCTCCATCTTGTGGGTGAGTCTCGCCAGACCAGCCTCTTCCCCCTCGCTGTCCCTCCGTGTCCTGTTCTGCTCGTGTCACAGTTTATTATATACGTCACAGTTAATATATGTCATATATTCGTGTATAAATAAGTTAGGAATCATCTTCGCTGAGTATAGATAATTGAGGATATGAAATATGAATGACTGATTAAAATTATCAGTAAACCAGGCATGAAGTTGAAGTCAAGTTATTCTAGTTGAACATATAATATTAATTATGTGCCTGTTCACTATAGTATATTATGTAAATTATATATTATCTTATGTATCATTATTCACATTTTGTATATTCATATTCCTTTCCGCATTCCACTGTTGTCTTTTTGAATCCCGTGCTGCATACAATATGTAACTCATGTGAGGATGACATTCCTGTTGTATGTTTACTTCTGCCTTGTGCGACGGTCTTAGTCAGCACAAAATATGAAGCAGCCTAACATCACCATTTTAGTAAATACATCACGCTGTGGTGGTCAACACCCCCCATGGGCTTGCGCATCACTTAGCTAACTCTACCACCTAATTTCCCAGTCAGATACAGTCCAAAGTTGGTGATTTGAGCCACTTATGTGGCTTTTCTTGTGCACTCTTTCTGTCTAGTGTCTCCCTCCCTCCCGTTCCCTTATTCTGTGTCTCACCTCTCCGCCTCTCTCTCATCTCTTCTTGTGTGATAGGCACCTACGAAAAAGCTGACGAGGAGGAGGAAGAGATCTACGAGGTGATCAACATCCACAAACTCAAGTCGGCCACTCCTAATCTCAAGGTGGTCAACCTCTACGGCATCAACTTTGTCGACGACTCCCACATCGAGGCCTTCAGCTCCAACTGCATCCAGGTGAGCTGCCTCACCTGATGGTCCAGGTGATGGGCTAGATGAGCTACCTCACCTGATGGCCCAGGTGATGGGCTAGATGAGCTGCCTCACCTGATAGTCCAGGTGATGGGCAAGATGAGCTGCCTCACCTGATGCCCCAGGTGATGGGCTAGATGAGCTGCCTCACCTGATAGTCCAGGTGATGGGCTAGATGAGCTGCCTCACCTGATGGCCCAGGTGATGAGCTACCTCACCTGATGGGCTAGATAAGCTGCCTCACCTGATGGTCCAGGCGATGGACAAGGTACACAACCACCACTCAACAAAGCACGCCAGTGACTTGTCACAGCGTGGCCGTCCTCACTGGTCACTGGTGTTCACAATAACATCTTACCAGAAGTTCTCGACAACTGGACGTGGTCACTAGCAGTACAGGTTCATACAACAAGTACCACTGGCCACACGCTAGAATGTGAAGTGACGACGACGTTTCGGTCCGTCCTGGACCATTCTCAGGTCGATTGGAATCGACTTGAGAATGGTCCAGGACGGACCGAAACGTCGTCGTCCCTTCACCTTCTAGTGTGTGGTCTGGTCAACAAGTACCACTGGCACTTCTTCAATGAAACTTGTGATTGAGAACTGGGAAAATTAATAAAATGATTTTTGCTGTATTTGAATATTATTAATTCTATATCTTGATTTTTATCGAACTAGGAAATTTGTAATAAAAGTACCAACTTATCAACACTCAGTACCAAAAGTTCCAAATTATTAACACTTAGTACCAAACATTCCAAATTATCAACATTTAGTACCAAAAGTACCAAATAGCAAGAAATATACCGAGTTTGGTATGAAAGATGACAGACATTGGGTAACATTTTCAAAATACAGTACCTGAAGAGTGTATCTAGCCTCTCCCACTTTTTCTGAGGCACCGGGGCCGATTTCTTTAATACTGTACAGTACAGTATATAATTGTTTATATTTTGGTCACTGAGGGCCTCATGGGGAAGATTAGCTTCCCATGAGGTTAACATTACACTACACTACAAGTACAGTTTACTGTACTTGTAGTTTTGACAAAAAATATACAGTAAAAGTTTAACCTAAGCTTACAGCTGCAATATATTAGGAATATTATCCCTGATTTGTACTCACCGGACATTGCATCTATATCACGTACCACTATATTGTGTATGATCTGATATGCCTGCCCTCTCATGCCCTCGCAGCTAGAGTGTATGGCTGTGAACTTCTGCTCCAAGGTGAACGGGTCGTCACTGAAAATCCTTTTGAGCAGATGCAAGAAACTCAAGTGCCTGTTGATGCAGCAGTGCAGTAAGTATATGTCTTTCCCTGCAACCTCCCTGATCTTACTGCAGTGTACCTGTAATTACTGCACCAGTGCTGATCTTGATATAGTGTACTGTACCTGTACTGTACTGTACCCTGCACCTTTCCTGATCTTGCCACAGTGTATTGTTCTTGTAGTTCCCTTCACCTACCCACCACCACCACCAACCAAACAGTTGGCCCAGTGGATTCACCACCATCAAACTTGAGCAAATAATTAACAACAGAATTCACCAACCCAGGAAGACTATATTAAACTTGAATTAACAAAAAATGTCAAATGAATTCAAATTCAAAACTGAGCTTGAATTTGAAATTTAAATTTTAAAATTTTAATTTTTTAATTTAAATTTAAAAATTTTAATTTTTTAATTTAAATTTAAAAATTTTAATTTTTAATTTAAATGTTCAAATTTGAATTTAAAATTGAAATTGTGTATTTTGTGTAGGTCTGCAGAACGACCATGTGATGGCCGCTGAGTGGGAGAAGTCATCCGTGCAGGAGCTGGATGTGACAGCCACAGATATCTCCTCCGACTGTCTCATCGATCTGCTGACCCGCGTCCCAGCCATACGTTGGCTCAGTGCTGGCCAACTTGATTCCTTCACCGACAGTGTCAGTATAGCTGTCCACACCTGCGTATACTTTTCCCAGAGGCTGTATATTCCATTCTCAAAAAAACATATATACAGTATATATATACCAGTATATATACCCTCTCCAGGGGATGTATTTGCCATCCCCAAGAATTGTATATTCCTTCTCCAGGGGATGTAAACATTCTCTCAAGAGCATGTATATACCCTTCCCAGGGGGTGTACATACCCTCCTCTGTGATGTATATACCCTCCTCTGTGGGGTGTATCAGTAGGGACCATATCCCTGCTCTCAGGACTATGGTCTTTTAGGGGCATGTATTTCAGGGGCAGTTTCCTGAGAGACCCAGGAGACTGTAAGGATCAGTAAGTCTGCAAGCTTGTCCAAGTGTGTTCTTCTGCCACAGGTGCTGAAGGCGTGGACGGAACGGGGCAACCTCAAGAGTCTGATTGCTCTCGACCTGGAGCTCTGTGACAACCTAACAGAGGAGGGCCTCTACAAGTTCCTGGCACGGTATGGTCAGAATTTGCGGGGCCTAGTCCTCTCTGGGATACCGCACTGTACAGATTCGCTCTGCTCCAATGTTATGCCTGCACTCAAGAACATCAGGTGAGAGGTCCCTGTCAGTAGGATGTAGCAGAATGTAACAAATAACAAATGTGAAAAAGATGAACAAATCAAGAACAGATAAAATAACAGTAGAACAATAGCAAGTTGTGAATTTATTAAGGGTTTTCAGGATTATAAATGGATGGGGTTCTGGGAGTTCTACTACTCCAGCCCATCTGGCCTTTACTTGTGAGAGAAAGATGAAGCTGTCAAATTGGCATGTAATGGTATACAAATTTATTACCTCAGGAAATGAATTTGTAAACCATGACATGCCAGTGTGGTAGCTTCCCAGAACCCTTTTAATAGTTTTAAGACTTGCCTTGCCTCAACTCATTCATGGTTGTTACTGGGGAAGGTAGACAGACTTAGAGAAGGATAGGGAGGGATTTAAAGGAAGAAGGACTGTACTAATACATAACATATAAGGACATACAACTTCACAGAGCAGGTTTTGTGTGACTGGAGATAAAAGTAATCATGGAAGTTGCAATATGTTTTCTAGATCCCCATGATGACTATGAACTCAAAAAGGTTGTGTATCATTCTATTTTTGGGATTAGCAACAAAAATGCTAACTTTGGAAAATCTGCAATGCAAATATTACATGACCATACTTGAAGAAGAGGCACACATCTGGCAAGTTCCCAAGAGCAGGAGTCAGAGAAATAAGAGCACTATAGAAGAAGGAAGGTGATGCAACATTATGGCTGATGACTCAAACATAGATTTGAGGTCGTGTGAACCAAACTTAGATTTGAGGTCATGTGAACTGACCACACCAACAGCTTTTCTCAGAATGGCAACAAGAATTTTATTTAAGGGGAAGCTGCCCAAGATAGGAGAGGAACATCCAGCACATAGGTTCGAATCTTCATCAAGGCCTTTGTGGATTTGTTCATTTGATATATCATGTTATTGTGATTTGTGTGTGTATAGGAGAGCAGTAGCATAGACAAGGGTAGAGGGAAACCTTCCCATGATGTAAGAGAAAGCACTAAAGACAAGTGAGAGGAGAATTTTGAAGAGCTTAATTTATGGAGAAATAAAATATTTTTTTACTCCAAAGAGAATTCTCAGTATTTTGGAAGCACTGACAGTGACTGCGGTGCCCAAGACACTTTCAGTGACTATCTTAGCATCTCCTATATGCCAAGGACTGTCACATTCTTCTGGTGGGGACTGGCACTTCCTCTGTCACACTCTGGAACCTCTTCAGGAGACACAAAAGTCTCTCTTCACTTCAATCAACTTTTCTCAGGCATTCACTCATCTTTGGCCACTCCTACTTTAATAGAAATACCAACGTAACTGTTAGGAAATACAGCTTAACAATAAGTGATGTATATAATGGTGTAGCAGGTCTACAGGATGGAATAAAACAACTTGTCAGCAGAGAAAGCAGGGAGACACCCAGCTGGATATTTGGAATTATGAAGGAACTACTGTCACAGATAGGCATTACTGATAGGCATTTTGAGTCCTATTAAAATCTTATGTATGTTATATGAGCTGTGTGTTTGGGGTGATTTTGAGCTGGGATAGTCCCAGATCAGTTGGTGTTGAATACTGAGAGTGTGAACACTTCTATAACGTCATGGTATGATTACTTTATATTAGTTCTGCTTCTAATTATCTTCTCATCATCCTAATTTTGTGATATAAATTGTGCCAATATCTGTCTTACAATTCTAATGTTAAATCTCACTTTGTTTTCACAATATATAACAGTTACAAATTGTAAGCTAAATGTCACTCAATGGTAAAAATGTAAGTTTGATTTAGACTGCTGAACATCTGTTAAGTCCAGTCATTATTGTAATGATTTGTATACGTTATTTCAAGTAAAGTTTCTGATTCTTATAACGAAGTCTACATGCTATGCTGTTATTGTGACACTCTTATGTAATGTACAGCAATTTTTATGTAAAGTTTCCAAATTATAAATATTCAGCCATTTATGAATGAAATTTGTGATGTGATATGGTCTACTTTCTGGTCTCATTTTAGGATCTTGCGAATGGGTCTGTCTGAGAACTTAGCCTACCGGATGATGGGTAAGATCCATGTGGATGGCCTGCTGGACAACATCGCCACTTACGGCCAAAACATGGAGCGATTGGAGATCTCCTGGGATCCAGACTCTCTTCGGTTCTCAGACAAGAGCCAGAAGGCCATTGACACCATGCGGGTCAGGTGCCTTAGACTGAAGTGCCTCGTACTAGCGTGAGTCTCTTGTTGCTCCTGGCTCTTATCAAATGTGGTATTTTCTATATGAATTCTACACCATGGTGTTTACCATGTGGATCATACTCTATTATTCTCCCTTAAAGTACAGTGCTATAATGTTTACTGTGTAGACTTTACTGTTATTCTTTTCTAATAAGTAATGTAATGTTTGCTGTATGAACTTTGTGGTGTTGACTGTAAACCACTACAACACTCAACTACCACCATCAACCAACAACATGCCACTTAAATCCCCTATAATCACAACATTTCATCAGTATTTCTCTCAACAGGGATGGCAAGTACTACGAGATTGTCAAGGCCAACTTTGAGCGAGCAGATCGCACCACAGTGGTCCGGACCTCCACCAACTGCTGCGTTTCTATAGTTTACCTCCTCACTCACTACAAGGACCTCATCTTCAACTAGCAGTCATTGCCTCCAGAACAAAAAAGTGCTATGGGGAACCACCAGGCCGAACTGATGATAAAACAAGTAGTACAGAGATGTAGAGACAAAACAGATAATAAGAGACAGGAAGAAAGAGGAAAGATATCAACAGAGGAAAGAAAGTGGAAATATCACAACGGAGGAAAGAAATCAAATGAGGAAGGAAAGTGGAAATATCACAACAGCGGAAAGAACGAGGAAAGATATCAACAGAGGAAAGAAAGATGAAAGATATTAAACAAAATAGGAGGTGAAGGATATTTGAGATAAAGATGAAGACAATAGAAGATTCTGAAAACAAATATTACTAAGAGAGCTAATGTGAAAAGAGGAGATACAAGAGAAAGAGGAGAGAAAGGACTGGAAAAGAAAATGAGAGGAATGAAGAGAGTACAATGAATGTTTGTACTTCTCACCAGCCTTCACTCTTGTACCCCAGGTGATGCCATTGCCAACCTTTATTCTTGTACCCTGAGTGATATTTTCATTAACCTTCACTCTTATACCCCTAAATAATGTCCTTGTAACCTTCACTCTTGTACCTCAGGTGATGTCCTTGTAGCCTTCACTCTTGTACCCCTAAATGATGTCCTTGTAACCTTCACTCTTGTACCCCTAAATGATGTCCTTGTAACCTTCACTCTTGTACCCCAGGTGATGTCCTTGTAACCTTCACTCTTGTAACGATAGATGATGTCCTCGTAACCTTCACTCTTGTACCCCAGGTGATGTCCTTGTAACCTTCACTCTTGTACCCCAGGTGATATCCTTGTAGCCTTCACTCTTGTACCCCAGGTGATGCCATGGTAACCTTCACTCTTGTACCCCTAGATTATGTCCTTGTAACCTTCACTCTTGTACCCCAGGTGATGTCATGGTAACCTTTACTCTTGTACCCCTAGATGATGTCCTTGTAACCATCACTTATGTACCCCAGGTGATGTCCTCACCAACCTTCATTTTCACTGTATGTGATAAATTTTTACCCAAATCCTCAATAAATGTTATTTATAAATATAGTACTGTTTTACTGAGTTGCAAACCTAATAGATCAGCATTATAAATTCAAAACAGGTTAAACAAAGAGTCTGAAAGCCAAAAAGAGTTTATGAAGCTAAGATTGCTAGAGATGTGAAGATCACTCCTAAAGGATTTTTCCAACTATGTAAAACTTGCAGGAACAAATATTGGTAATATTGGTTTGAAGGTGATTGACTAAAGACAGCAATACAATCAGACCCCAGACAAGACAGAGGGAGAAACATTTATAGAAGTGACAATTTTGGATGGTCGAGTGAGTATGAATGGCATCACTATAGATCATTGAGCCACAGTGAGTATGAGTGACACCACTATGGATGATCGAACCACTGTGAGTGTGGATGATCGAGCCATTGTATGAATTTCATTACTATGGATGGTCAAGCCATTGTATGAATTTCATTACTAGGGATGGTCAAGCCACTGTGAGCATCATTTTTATGGTTTGTTGAGCCACAGTGAGCATGAGTAACATCACTATGAATGGTCGAGCCACTGTGAGTGCATTTCATCACTAGATGATTGAGCCACTGTGAGTATGAATGATATTACTATGGATGATCAAGCCTTGCATGAGTGGCATCATTAGGGAAGATCAAGCCATGGTATGAATGACATCATCATTGATGGTCGAGCCACAATGATGACGAATTTGGTTTCAATGGGCCCCAACCATCAGCAACCCATAACCCTTACATGTTCATGGTCATTGTTATGTACTCGTGCTTCCCTTTTGAATTTGCATGCCTTAATATGTACACAATTACTGTTATAAAACATCTAGAAGCCTCACTTGACCTTTGGGTGGTGTTGCCATCACTTTTTCTGGAGCCTCTCTGTTTTCCCTTATGCAGTGTTTCTGGCACTGGGATTTATGGGTTCACTGACTCCCAGTCAGGGTAGGCATTTTGTAGTGCCTGGGATCTTGGGCAGTGGCACTGCTCTTGTCAGTCCTTACTTTTGCACTACTGTACATGTGCTCAGTGAGTACCATTGGTTAGCACTGAACTTTGGTTTTGACTAAGTTGCTTTCTTGTGTGGCTGCATCTCATCCTGTGGCTGCTTTGTAGGCCAGAATCTACTATGTAGGCTTTGTGTAGTCCCTGTCTACAGTGGGTGGTGTGGCTGATGATCCCCACTTTTTTTTCTAATGAAGTTGGCAAATGTTTGGTCTTTGACATATTTCAGCCAGATTCCTCCAATGCTTCTGCCTTGTCTAGTTTGATCAGCTTCAGTTCACTTGGCTTCTCATTCTCTTTCACTAAGTCAAGTTGCTCAGCTTCTGGCCCACTAATGCTACACCTTCCTTGCTAACATTTGCCTCTTTATTTTTGTTTTGTTTTTGTTTTTTACACAGGTGGGTACAGGAACAGACAACTGCTGACTCCTATTAGCAGGATGAGAGCTTTCCCATCCTATAGTACACCCTATAGCCTTACCCGCTAGTTTCTCTGGAATATGACCCGGCAATCTTTTAATAATCAGGTACCCAATCACTGTTGGGTGAACATAGGTATACAGTTAAGGATTGGCACCTAGTCAATTCTCCCCAGCAAAGATACAAATCTAGGCCAAATTTCTTGTGAAGCGCAGGTGTGTTACCACTGCGTTACAAGACTTTGGCATATCCTCCTACTTTCCAGCCAAAACAATCAGTAGTTTCAAAGCAGCATCTGACAAAGATTATAGTGAAGTTGGGACACCACAAGCATAGCTCTCATCCAGTAGCTACACTTACGTAGTTAGACTTAGGTAAGTACTCGTAAATTGTCAGTCTAGATCAGTGATTCCCAAACAGGGTTCTGTAAGCATATATTCAACCTTCCATGAGAATTTACAAAAGTTTGCAAAAAAAAAAAAATACTCCTTGCCATCTTTGTAAATGAGCAAAGAATTTTCTAAATATTATGGTTTTAATGTGACCTATTAATAAAAAATTATGCATCTATGAATTAAGTTGTAGTGCTAAAAAACTAAGCCAAAGTTTCACATTAACTTAAGAGATACTGTAATTACAATCAATGTTATTCTATTGAAAAGTATTATTTTCAATTGTGAATATTTTATAAAATAATAAAATTTAATTTGTTTTTTCATTAACAACTTTATAAAAACAATTAACAAAAATTATTACAAAATATATACACAAAGTTTGCAAACAGTAAGCCAGATGTAAAGTGAAACTGTTTGCCACTTTTTAATTAACAGTAAATAGAAATAGGCAATAAATACTTTTGTAATTATGTCATTCAAAAATAAGAGTTAATATATATTTTTTAACTCCACTGCTTTACACATTGATTTTGTAATTTAGCTCTGTCGATCTTATGTGTCAGCCATGTAGGGGTTTCCAAAAATTTTACGAAATATTTCAAGGGCGCCACCGAACAAAAAAAGATTGAAAATCACTGGTCTAGATTTCCCCACCGCCATGGGTGAATATCAACTAACATTACAAGAGAAGAGTTTATCATGTAACAAGATGGGGCAGTCAGTGGAAGTTGAGTAGGTACCGCAGAGGCATTCTGGTGTAACAATTATTAAGGAATAGTGCAATATGAGGTGAAGAAGGTAGGCAGGTCAAGGTTAAAAGCATAGCCATTTTACAGGATGTCATTAGTACACAGATAATCAAACATATTTAATCCAAGATGACTACACAACAAGCTATTGCCCATGCCACTAACAGTACTGCATGACAATATCCTACTTGATTTTCTCATCACACACTATAAAGCAGTTCGGCCTTACATATTTCTAGTCAATGAGGTCAAATATAACTACAGTAATTTATAAGGCATCATCAGAATTCTTGGTGAACATCACTCCAACACTACTTCATGGCACAAACCCAATGTAACATTGCTTTTGGTAACAAATTTTGTTTTATAATTCTACTTAATTATTTATTTGAATTAAGGTACTGAATCTCAAAGTAAATGATTTTTAGATATACAATATCTCACTTAAATTACACTTCTAGAGACCGAAACAGCACAGCTGTTAAAAGTCCTCTCTAAGGTAATCACTCTCAGATAACGCAATATTGTATATAAACTCATGAAAACATTCACAATACTTACAGCATTGCAAATAAATACTATACAGTAAATTTCAGAGAACATTATTAACACTAGTACTGTCTGCTCTGTGAACAGCATTTATTATCAAAACATTTCATGCATTTATCAAATATATACAGTACTTACATTTCAAATTGTAATGCCACATTTTAACAAAGCAAAGAAATTTTATACTTTAGAATTTTAATGAAAATTACTGACTGTATCTTGCTTTCTCTCTTAATTTCTTTGGTAACTAATTAATCAACAAATAGAGAAGCCTTAGTCTTGGCAAGCTGTAGTAGCAGTAGATGAGGTGGTGGTACTGTGGGTAGAGCTGCTTGTTATTGTACTGGAAACTGCAGTGGTGGTAGAGGCTGGAAGATGCAGAGGCATCTGAGGGAAGATGTGATGGGGTGCAGCTAAAGAAACTCTTGATGTTCCACGACAAGGCGAGGGCGACCGAGGTGCTATTTCTGAGGGGCGAGGATTCTGTCGGGGGCTTAAAGGCAATTGCAGGAGCGACCTCGGGGAAATTGGCAGTTGCACAGTAGGACATGTGTTGAGAATACCCGAGTGGGAGGATCTTGGGCTAGGAATTATTGGATGGGAAGATCTGACACCCTGTTGAACTGTGACAGATTCTTGACCATGGGCTTGGGTAGGGTGAAGATTGCGTATGTGCCTGTTGAGATTGCCAGCCTGATTAGCTTGATAAGAGCAGTAGGGGCATGCATGCCGGCGCTCCCCTGTGTGAGTAAGAATATGACGACGCAGGAGGAATTTGTGATTGCTGCCCTGGAACACCTTTCCACACACCCCACACACACTCCCGCCAACACAGTCCTCCTGCAAAAGAATTAAGTACTGTAATTACTAATTGCTCAGTTGAGCTAATACTTAGTAATAATACTGTACTAGTGTATCAATATTTGAATTCTCTCACCCACATATGTGAACTAAATTATTAGTGCCCAAGAATACCAATTGTATATACTGTAATGGTGTAGAAAGTCTACAGAATAAAATAAAATAACTAGTTAGCAGAGAAAGGAGGAAGATGATATTATTAAGGAATTACTGACACAAAGAAATGGCTTATTGTAGAGAATTTTAAATCCTATTGAAATTAGATCTATGTTACATGAACTGTTTTTAGAGTGGTTATATATGTTTAACCATTTATGAATAAAGTTTTTGAATTTGAATAAAGTGGACATTTAATTACAGGAATCTTCAACTAGGTAGATACTTCACAAAGTTATAAACCCATGGATTCTCCTATTCACCAAAGCCATAAATGCCAAAACACTGTTGAAATTCAAAATTCAGCTTGATAAAATCATCAGCACAAATGGTGTGACCCAGTCCGTCTAATTACCACAAGCTACACAAGCTTCAGAAAGCTTCCTGGTAATACGTTAGTAATGAATAAATATGATATATTTACTCATTATAATGTTGGTGCTGAATGTACAACACGAAAAAACATAATTTTAATCTGAAAAAGTATCTTTTTATAAAGAAATTAGACGAAAATAAAAAGCTGGTGACGCCAAATCAAGTCGACGATCCAAGCTTCAGTTAGGTTAGGTTAGGTTAGGTTTGGTTTGCTTAAGTTAGGTTAGGTTAGGTTAGGTTAGGTTAGGATAGGTAAGGTTAGGTTAGGTTAGGTTAGATTAGGTTAGGTTAGGTTAGGTTAGGTTAGGTCAGCCTAACCTAACATATCATATTTATTCATTACTAACGTATTGCCAGGAAGCTTTCTGAAGCTTGTGTAGCTTGTGGTAGCTTATGGTAATTAGACAGACCTGTGTGACCTTTGACAAGTCAATGTTATTGTACTGGACAATAACAGTGTCAGTGTCATGGCCACTAGTGTCAAGGCCACCAGTGTCAAGACCACCTGTGTCAAG